GGAAGGCGAGGAGGAGGGCTATGAGGTGTCCCTGTCCCTGCGGCTCTAGCCATCCCTGTCCTCCCCTGGGGACAGTGCGGCGCTGGCCGGGAGGGAGCAGTCCTGCGTGGGCGAAGTGCTGTGCGTGTGCCTGGAACGGGTGTAGCGTTTGGGCCTCCCCGGGCATGAGGTGGGTCCGTGGGGTGTGTTTGAGGGTCGGTGCCCTTATACACCAGCCTGGCTTGCTTCGCCATGAGAACAAACGCGTTCCAGAAGATACTCTTTTAATTCTTCCACTCTAAGGGTAGCCACATGCAAAGGATGATTTTCACAATTAAAATGGCTCGGCATTTTTAGGATCAGACTGAGAGTATTGTTGTCACCTTTTAAAAGCCAGTGTTAATAGGTTGGCTTCTCTCCCTTCAGAAGGGTCCTAGCTGTGTCCAGACTGACTCCATGACCACCATCAGCAGAAGGTAGTTACCTGCTTCAGTGACTTGTGTGAGGGTAGGAGGGGAGTGTGTGTTTTGTTGGTTTTTTTTCCTTAAAGGTTATTTCTAACCTGCTAAATAACAACAAAGAAGTCTTCATGACTTAAAAAAAATAAGAAGAAAAAAACAGTAATCATAGGTCTGTATTAGATCAAGGCCTTGGGAATCAATTCTGTTGAGTTGTCCATGTCCATATGGCAACATGCTCAACTCTTTCATTATCTTTCTCTTTTGCTTTTAGCTGATGTTTCTATTTAGTTTAGCAAAGATGTATGTGCTTATTAAATTAGTTTCATTCTTATAATTAGTTTAATTTTTCTTTTCTCAAATTCTGTGAGTGAAAGAATGAAAGAGAATTCATAAGATGTGTTCAGCTCTCTTGTTAATGCTAATGCTTTAATGCTTGAGGAAATAATTTTCTCTTATGTTGGAGGAGTAAGGGAAGATTATGGTTAGAGGTTGATTCCACATGCGGTTAAAGTACTCTACAATTTTTCATTTTTTTATATGATTTCATTCATAATGTTTGCAATGGGGAAGTACAAGGGTGCTTTTATTTGGTTTTGTTTAGAAGTTCAGCAGAGTAGAATTTAAAACAGAAGTAGCCACAGTGCTGTTGCTGTGGGCTGGCCTATAAACCTGAACTGTAAACTTTCTGTACAGCGCTTGTGATGGAAAGTGGCAGTCAAATGGCATGAATCCATTTTGTTCATAATGCTTGCTCCAGACAAATTATAACAAGTGGAGAATGTAAATGCAAAATGGTATAGAAAAATATTAGAAAATTCCTGGTACTGTACATCAAACTTAGGTAGAGGATCCATTTGGTAACTCATCAGGGAAGGCAAATGGACATAACAAATGTATAATAATTTTTTAGACTTAGCTTTACAACTTTGTTGTTGTAATATGCATAGAATCATTTAGGTTGGAAAAGACCTTTAAGATCTTGGGAGTCCAACCGCTAACCTAGCATTGCCAAGTCCACCGCTAAACCATGTCCCTAAGCACCACATCTACACATCTTTTAAGTACCTCCAGAGATGGTGACTCAACCACTTCCCCGGGCAGCCTGTTCCAGTGCTCGAAAACCCTTTGGGTGAAGAAATTTTTCTTAATATCCAATCTACATGTTGCATATTAAGTTTAAACTTTGCACATAAAGAAAATTTGGGAATTCAAGCTATATTTGAAAGGAAAATAATTCATGTTTTACTTGAGGAGGAGGAAGAAGATAATACCACTGCCATCGGTTTGTTTCAGGTTTTTAAACAGGCTCTGAGCAGAATTGTCTGTGTATTGTTTGCTTCTTTTTAGTAGTGTTCAGAAGAACATACAATGCTAAAATCTAAGAACAGTCTGAGAGACAAACCTTTCAGAAGGTTGTTGTGTTTTGTTTAGTGTCACAGTCTCCTCTCTTTCTCCCTCCCCTCCAAATTGTATTCTTAACAAATCAAAATGCATTACCACTGCATGCTAGTGCTCACAGCAGTTGCAGAACATTTGGACTGTGTGGACTCTTGACACACAGAAGGTCATAGTTAGATTTTCTCTTAATAAGTTTTCGATTAACTTTTCATGGACAAATGAGCTTCATTAACTGTAAATGTTTCTGCTGATCTTGGCAAAGCTTAAGAAATGTGTCTAAATAATAAAAGATGTGTCCTGCACCATTAAGGAGTTTGTAAAGATCTAAGTTCCAATTCTGTAAGCATTCAGATAGTTGCTTAGGTTGACGTACCTGAGGGTTGATCCTGTGCAAGTATTTGCAAAGCCTAGAATTTTGCTTTCTAACTAGAAAAAGATGAGTGCATGGGAGAAAAATGTTGATTCAGGCCTCTTTAAGATACATTGTTCATAAATCAGGTGACAGCAACAATGAGGAAACCGTTGCATGTCAAGAGTGTCTACTAAAAACCAGAGATGTGTTTGGACTTCAGACCATACTACTCACATAAGCAAAGTGCCTGTGGGAATGTGTTCTGAAGCATCCAGTTAAAGATGTAACTTTGATTTTACTGTTTAATGTAGCATAGAATGAAAATTGTGTCAGTTTTGTGACCCTATTGCTTATTTGTCACTTGGCGTATTTAGGTCAAACAGAGAACTTCATGGTTATACCGTTTGTGCTCAATAGAAAAAAAAAAAATGCTGTGTTTGAATCCTTCTTGGCTTCTGTTTTAATTCTGAAGATGCATTAATTGTATGTGTAAATAAAGGAGACTGAATTTTGTTTGAGTGCTAAAGCAAGAGCGTATCATCTCCATTGGGGAATTATTGTAACAATAAATTTGTATATTCATGTGACACTGTTCAGATGAACCCATGTAACGTGGCAGTAAGCCTGGCCTATGGCAGTGATGTTTTTTTCTTGTGATTTGCCCATTTTATTGAAAAGAGTAGGGAGAGTTCTAAAGCCAAACTGGCGAACTTGCGATAAAGTAATAGAGAGTACTGTTAATTAGCAGTTTGAGTTGATAATATGTGGGAACCTCGACTTCAGACAAGGCTGAAGTCCTATGACATGAGTGACGGTAGTGAAATTCTAATTTGCTATGTCCCCACCAAATTTTTAGGTTGACCATTACTACGTATTGTATTACTGGCTACTATAAATCATATTCCTTGATGGGCCAGTTTCCTCAAGCTTGAAGCATTGTTTAACTGTTATTGGAGACTTGTGTGTGCATGCAGTTCAGAGGGATGGCAGTGAAGTTATAGTTGAAGATACTAGTGATGCAAAGACAAGCTTCAGAAACTGTCTGGTGTATATATGTATATTTGTTTGAAAGGAACATGTGCTCTCTGCATAAGAATTCATCCTGTACATCTGTTCATAGCACTTCAATCTGCAGGGGATTTGGCTATAGGCTGAGTTGATGAGACTAGGAAAAAGCACATTGAGAGTCAGAGCTCAACTGCCTTTCAAATGGAACTGTGGGATTAAGGTTTTTGAGGAGCCTGCCAGATATTTTAATCCAAACTCATCTCTTGAGCACTTTACAAAACGTTGGGAGTGTTTAATTGATACTTCCCTTAAAGCCTATGGGTAATATTAGCATAATTAAATGTGAAGATCCTTTTTATTGCTTTTGACTAGGTTTTGAAGTGGATTAACATAAAATTCTGTAATAAAAGTAGTTATCTTTTCTAAGAGGAGTGGCAGGTATTTTGTCTCACTTTTTAAGATGTTCATCAGTATTTTTTGTTTATCATTGTTATCAGCAAATAAGGTAAGTTGCAAGTAAGAGGTAAGGTCTTGTGCCTGATTAGGAAGTACTTTAGCCACTGGATGTAGTAAAGTATTTATTAAACTTATGCTAGGGGACCTCTTTAGTCTGTTTCTAGGAAGTTTTGAGTCCATCTTCTTTGGAAAGGGGATTGAGATTATTCTAGAAAGTTCTTTTTTAGCATTTTGGAGGATTAACTTTGTGATTTAAAAATTAGGTCAATCTGGTGTAATTATATTTGACATTGTAGTTTTTCTAAATGCACATAATAATTCTTGTTGTACTCTTCTGTGTGCTACAGGTGATACTGGCCAAGGAGCAAGAGCATGGATAAAACAGATTTTGAATCAAGACATGACTTTCCAACATATAAAAGTAATTTACCCAACGGCTCCTGCCAGGTATTGTTTAATACATTTTAACTGTAGGATTAAATTACTCTATTCCAGTACTGTAAAATACGCTTGTGAATATTGGTACAGACTGTCATAATACTTCCTCTTTCTCATGTATATGCTTGTTGGCAAAATTTGAGCTCGACAGTGCATTGCTGCCCAGAGACTGTGATTTTAAGTGGTTAAGACTCTATATGGTTAAGAGTTCACAGAAGTCATAGTCTCTAATTCAAATTCAGGTATTGTCCTCATAGTGTCTTTCCATCTCCTTGATACAAATAGAAGAAGATACTCCAATGGATGTTATAATGACATTATAGAGCCATGTTCTGGATCACAGTCCTACCTATATTAACTCTCATAAATTAACCACTAATTCTGTTGTATTTAATGCCAGGTTTCAGTTCTGAAGGTGGTTGGTCTTTTTGGCAAGTAGGATGTGAAAGATCTTCAGCTGCTGGAGAAATGACTTGGAGTTTAAAATTACATATTTGTTCTATTTTGAATCCTGACCCAACTGTTTCAAAGAGAATTGAGTTCAATGTTCGCTGTAGGCACAGATCTCATTATTAAATGACGCTATGCATTCAGTGGTAGACTGGAAATATACATAAAAATATTTACCCCTGGGAATTTGAAAGTTAATGAGGTCAAACCTAAAGGCTAAAAGTTGGACACCTTACCTCCATATTTCGCTTTCTAAAGACGTGGCCTTGTATTTCAGAGATGTTTAATTTTCTTAATATAAATTCATTTTTAAGGTGTCTGTGGCTCTCAGTTAGGAAAATGTTTCCTTAAAAGGTAATGGGGCTTAAGTTTCTTTGTGAATTTGTGCACAAGTGTGGATGAATGCTGAAAGGAAAAGGAAATTGTGACATTCTACACAGACTTTCGAGGCACAGAGGTTTGAAAGTCACAAAAAAATTTCTTGGAGGGTATAAACAAGTATAATAGCAGATTTTGTCTGGCAGTCACTAATACATGAAAAAAAAACTTTCCTTGACCATGTATTTTTATGATCTACTTAGGCAGGAAAAGCAATTGAGAGATTGCAGTGTGAATGTACTCACTGTGTTACAGAAAAATCAAGCCTCTGAGTGGAAGTCTTTGAAGCAGTGTGTTTTGGGTTAGTAGGTAGTGAATATGATTTTCTGTAAATGTTCTCATTACTTCATTGATGACAGGCTAAAGTGATGCTAGGTTTATCAGTGGCACATCACACATACTGATGGGCTCCATTTCTTCCCTTATCAACACAGCAGGTACTGGAGAAATACGGGGAGTTTTGCTTCCCTATGAAACGATCTTCACATATTATACAGCCAGAGCACCTCAGAGCACATCTGTTAGGCCAGTGCTTCACTTTCGCATCCTGCTGGACTTCTAGGGTCCAATCCTTTTCTCATGTGTTTTGGGTTTTTTTGGGTAATTACAGATGTAAACTATGTATAAATGATTAACCAGCAAGATGTCCTGACTCGAATGAGTGGCATTTATGGGGAATTTTTTTATCTCAAGACTTTCAGTACTGGATTTCAGTACTTTAGTAAACGGATAGGAAGAAAGATACAATTGTAATTAAAAGATGTGAATAAACAGTTAAGTCCAGTCTCTTTCTTTTTTAAGTTGAGGTTACTCTTGTTCTCTAGAGCAGATAAAGGTCATGCATGAGTTGATTCAGAAGTTGCTTTTAGCAAAACTGTAAAAAGTTGTATATTCAAAGAGTGAAAAATACCCGTTCTGTTTGTCTTTGGCAATATGAAGTATGTTTGGGAATATTAGTGTACAGCCCTTTTGGTTATAAGCATCATTAGCTGATACAGTGAAATAAAATGGATGCCCTTAGGTACAATAATGTTTGCCACTGTTTGCAGCAATGCTGAAGTTTGTGAAGATAGGTGGTGTTGGTTGAAACCAAAATAACAGAAGCCTTTATAGACCCATTTCATGTCGTTTTGATACTCAAGTCCAAAACACACTGTGCTTTCCAAAGCACCTGTAATGATTGCTCTCCTTTCTTCCACAGAAAGGAAGAACAAGGCCTAGAACATCCAAACTTGAATGGCACACATTAAAATAATTATATCTGCTTTAGGAACTTGAATATATGGTCTCATTTTGTGTGCATATGTATGTATATATGTTTTGATAAGAATTCCAAATGTTTCTGGCACCAACAGCGGGATTCAGCATCCTTGACAACGAGGCCTATAGGTAGATGGTTATGGGCGTGCACATATGCTGAAGAAGGTTCTAATCCAGTCTTTGATCATGTAGAGGCAGAGCAACGTGTTGCTGGAAAGCTGCACTGATGTGAGTGAGTCTCTGTGGGTGGCACAACCTGCCGCTGCACTGTCAGTTGTAGGAGCAGATTGCAAAGCTTGCCAGCAGGTTTTTACACTGATGATGAAATCAAAGAAAAGCTTGAAGTTAGGCAAGACCATACTAGGATTGCTTGGCTAATGTGCTCTTCTGGCAAAATACTGTTAATGTGGATGTAGTTCATACTCTATAAACTCCTGTCTCATCCAGCATGACTTACCACATACACATTGAATGCTCTCTGTCAATGCAATTTTGCCAGTAAAAACAGGTTTGATGATATAAAGGCAATACTAGAGGCTTTTGCAGGATAAACTGCAGGTCACAAATAGCTCTTCATGTTTTGATAGATATAATTCTGCTGATCAATAGATCTGTAGATTTGGTCTTACACATTTTTCAGCTCTATTAAATAGAGTTCTGAAAAGCAGTGGTTTTCAACAAAACATTGAAAGAAATTTTGTTTCTTTGTGGAGGATGGATGGGGTTTATATTTACATTTTGTTTAGATTTTATCCCAGGCACTGAAACATACATATTTTTCATTTACTACAACATCAGAGGTTCAGACATGTTTTGATTCAAGGGTCATTATGTTTGAAAATTATTTTGGAAAACCAGCCCAGCAAATAATCTAGAAGAATTCTAAAACACATTCTGTGGCTTCATTAGCATTGATTTCGGCAAACACAAGAGAGGATACTTTCATTTTATGGGTAAAAACAATAGAAAGTTACCAAACTACATTTTTATAAAACTGGTTTTTACTGTTCTGTATAGGTCTCTGTAAAAAGTTACACTTTTAAAAAAGATTTACTTTTCTTTATTCATCTTTATAATAGGCAAGGTCTGTGTAGAGAATGATCACTAGATGTCCCCTGGACAGGTAAAGTTTGCAGCATTTTCTCACACTTGTCCTTCATCATGTTGGAAGGTCCTATGGGTCTTGTATTTGTTTGTTTCCTGAGCAAAAATAAGAGAATGTAGATAGTGCAATTTACTATTAAAAAAGAAAAACTTGCAAAATTTTGAAGTAAAATGCTTATGATAAAAAGCATGCTTAGATAAAAAAGAGAAAGATATGTGGATGTGAAGTGTCAGTGTGATGTAGTAAGAGTAGTGGCACCTGAATTTGGAATGTGTTTGGAAATTAAATGCGTGTAGCTGGGGCATGCAAATTTTGCTTTACAAATTAAGATCTTTAGACATTGCTTAGAAAGGTTGTGTGTTTTCTCTGTAATGTAGGCAACTGGGATACTTAAAAATTGAGTAGAGGACTTGTTTTAATAGGTTGGTCTTTTAACTTTATCTAGCTTTCAGGATCAGTACTTCTGTACATAGATTAAACTTACTAAACGCAACAGAATTCTATTTCCTCTACCTTGTAATGCTAATGTGTACCTTTAATTAAAAAAAAGAAGCTCAAATTTTAGTTCTAGCAGCTGATGCAATCCCTAAAGCCACGTCTACAGTAATAGTTTTAAAGGAAAGGGTTTCCTTTTTCCTTTTTTATTTGGGTCAGGATGGCTACAGCTTTAAATACTGTTTCAGCTGCTACAACTGTGACTTAAACATTAGGTTTCTATTGAGTTTCTAACTCAGAACTGAATACCACCCAATTTAACCTTTTTTTTTTTTTTAATAGAAAGTGATAGTTTAAATTGGCATTGCAGGAGCTAACGTGGTAAAGTTAAAACCATTTAGGCTCCACTTTTTTTAATAAGTATACCTTACCTTCTATAATTCCCTTAAAAAATCTAGGTCAAAGATTATTTGCGTTGTCTAGCATTCCATTCTGACAGTCCTTCTCTTTTGCAAGTCAGAAAGTAAACTATAAATACTTCTTGGGCTTTTTTGTGGATCTTTTTGACATTCGCTCAGCATACCTTTCGGTGGCCAATAAGTCTCTATGCAGAGTTTGTAATTTTTTTTTTTGTTTTGGTTTGTTTTTTTCCCCCAATTTATTCTAATTTCCCTTGTCTCTGAGTATGTGGCTGGTAAGGACTGCTCAGCATTATATGGCCTGGTACTCCATCCTTTCACCTAAGTTCAAATCTTTGCTCAGCTCATGGGTGGAAATGAGTTTCATCTCATCGTAGTCCCCATTTGGCTATATCGCAAAACCACCAGACAGTTTGGCACCATTCAGCTACATTGGCAGTCTGCTTGTGAGAGGCCTAGGACTGGAAAAGCAGCAGGGGTACTGCAGGTCAGACTTGAGATGGATTGGCAGAGCTGTGTAGGGGAGCGTGCACAGTGCCTATCATACTATTTTTGGCTCAAGCAAATGTTATTAATCCTTCACTTTTGTAAGCCCTAACCTCATTCATAAATTTAACACAAAGAAGTCTTTTTAGAGGTGGAAGTTTGAGGGGAATATGGAAAGGGTTTTGGTTGATATCACAGGGTGGTTCTTTCATCTCTTTCTGCAAGTAGAAATTTAACATATTCTGCATAATAGTGATGGAAGCATGCTTGGATAAACTTCATATTTTCCTTTTATTTCTCCTCTTGCATTAGGTGAGGAAAACATATGGATGTGCATACATGTAAGACTTACATCATGTACTAAATACCATATGGAATGCAATAAACACTTGTCAGAGATACTTTAGTCATGCTTGGGGAAAACAAAGTAGAACATGATGGCAGTAATCTTGCATTTCTAATCCCTTTAACTATGT